ATTGATAATCGTGCTAATACTGTTTCCGCAGGATAGGTGATAAGTACAGATAAAAAGAATAAGAGAAAGGAAAGCCATTAGCATTTCCTTGAATGAGCAGCCCAATACCGGTTTCAACCTTGCTCAAGGGTCTCATCAGTTGGGCTTATACATAATTTGTATGGTTTAGGGAGTGGGATGGTGGGGGCGAGGGAGGCTGGGTGTGAGTACTTACGTACCTATCTTCTTATATACTGTATTCTCACACAGTTATTCTTCGCTTTTTATTGAGCGTCGAAATTGAGAAGAAGAATATTGAGAATGATATTGAGAATCTCTTATTCGTTTTATCTGTAAACTTACAAAATACATATGAATCGACTCAGTTTTTGATTCTGATTCCGAAAATGATATTTTTATTGCTCAAAAGTTGAGTTCTGATCGAGAAAATTGGGAATTACGGTCAGAATTGCAAGTCTCTTATTTAGAAAAAATGAATTTTCTCGGCGAAAATCTTTTTTCCCAAAACCCCTCCTTAGCTGGAGTATAGAGCTATCGAATGGCATAAAATTCAATGAGTTAGTTCCCCACCAAAAAAACTAGATAGGTTTTTGGCGGCGGGGTCTCATTTTTCAGGGTTTTCTATCGCGAGCAGCGCCAAAATTTCAAATTACGGTCTAAGAGTCTGAAACTAGTATGGATATACCCTGTTTTCGACGACGAATCGAAAAATAAAAAGTTTGAGTCTGTAGCTACTTTCTATAAAAAGTTATGAGTGTTTTTCGAAAGGCCAAGAATTTTCAAAGTTTTTGTAAGTTTACCTTTTCAGTATTTTGCATTTTTCTCCCCGAAAAAAAGGTTTTTTTCAAAGGCAAATCCGAATATGTGTCTTTTATCGAAAAAAATTTTGCTAAAATTTTGCTTTGCGTGCACCTTACTTATCACCTATTCTGCGGAAACAATATTAGCATGATTATCAATTATATAGCAAAACTAATATTAGCGCATTATAGTTGATTACCTGTGAATCCACTTTTTCTGCGCATAATATTTCGCGCTTTATAGCAAACTACAAATAGCATTAAAATTAGAAGGAATGTGTCCTAAGTTGGTCTAAATAAAAAAGACAGAGCAACTTTTTTTTAATTTCTCATCATAAGAATCAGCATCGGAATCCTTGTGGCGAGGTAATCCATAAGGTGCCGACGTATCCTTGATGGAAGTCTCAAAATGCCACAAACATCGAAAAAATAAGCATCATATAAATTTTTGCACTGCGCTGTACTACGCAGCCACGTTCTGAGCACCCTTGTCGTGGCATATATGTGTTATATTCCATTCTGAAAGTTTTCACTCCTGGCCGACATCTAGAGAAGAAAAAGGCTGTCCGCTTGAGACTGATACTGTGACTCGTCGTAGTATGATGTTGCTATGTCTTCATTGTAGTAATTTGAACCGTTTGAACAAGACACGTTTGGTCAATTTACACATTGTCACCGTCGCCAAACGTGCTGTTATGTCAGAAAATGGCTTGATTTAAACCAGTTGCAAATGTCGTTTCTAAATCTCATGATTACTGATGATACATGATTTTCTTCTCAGAGACAAGAACAATATATATAAAACCCTACGTAGACTTTCTGATGCATTAAATGAGTAGTATATACGAAGAAGTGACACGATCACTCAAGAAATGGAGATTGTTTTTCTTTACTTATTTTTATTTTATTTGATCGCACGCCGTGTTTCGCCTGTCGTCTTGCTCTATGAGACTAACAATCAATATCTTACACAATCATTCGATTGCGTTTATTACCGAGGCAATGCATCTTCTTTTAAGCAGTCGATTGAATATTGTATTCAGCTAGAAAACTATATACGACTGGACCGGAGCTATGCGCATGGTTGCCGAAATAGTGGATCACGATTTACATTTGAAGAACTCGAACGACTGAATTTAACATACATTGAGTTGTTGTCATGGAGCTCAAGCGTTGATGCTGTCGATCGGTACTAAACTTATTTAAACAGAAAGTAAAATGGTCTTTCGACGCCAGGTGTCGAAAGTGGACTTCCTTCTCTCTGTGTGAGTATAGGTTAAATCAGATACTGATTGATTGTTTTCGTCATTCTCGCCAACATCGAAGAATTCACACACCTTTGCAACTGTTAGATCTGGTTCTTTATCACAAGTGTCATAATAAAAATTGTAAAGTTGATGAAGAATAAGAAGTGTATTTTTTGCGTTTGTATTCATTGCCAATCACAGGACTTCAGAACAGTAACTCCCAGTCACAAACTTCATAACGCTACAGTTACCAATCACGTTACTATCGGTAGCTTGTGGAGACCGCTCAGCTGCACTGGGGGTCCGAGTGCCGCCCTTGCAAACGGAATTACAATAGTCCTCCGAAGAATATTGTACCACGCTTAGAGAGGAACCACGCGAGTTCACGAAGCCAAGGTTAAGTGATGAAAAAAAACTCCTAGTTGATTCAGTCCTAATCGGATAATGTATTCGCCTACTAAAGCCTGGAGGTCAGACATCATTAACAATCTGTGCTTAAGGAAAAACCCCCAAAAAATCACGGTTTTCGAAAAACCTCTATCTCTGCAGGGAAATATTTTTGCTAATTTTTGGTAAGTATATAGTCGTCTCAGATATAGAAGAGCATTTGCTGAAACTTTCATTGAAAACGGAACTTGGGGCTACACATTCTTGTTTAGATCTCTTTGTCGAACACGACGTTCTTATTTCTTCAAATCAACAATGTTGTACTCATCATTTCTTGTCAGACAGATTAGATCCAGATTTAGTTATTGATTCAAACTAGTTTGAAGCAGCTACTCTTTCAAACAATCAGGCAGCTCAGTTGATAATGGAAATGAAAGCAGAAAATAACAGAAGTCGATTGAAACCTCTTTTGAACTTGGAAAACCCTTTCATTGGTGATGAAGAATTTACGAGTTGAACAGGAGATAATTTACAATCAATGCTATCAATCATTCATAGTTTAAATTCAATGAGAGACAGTAAACACAGGTCAATCTCCGCTACTTTAATTATGTTTTGGATAAAAATGAAGTATAGGTGGTAATATTAATTGAGGATGGAACGTACTTCTATATCTACAAAAGCAGCGATCATGTTCTCAAAAGAAGACGTATTCTGGAGAGAAGAAAAGACATTTATTAAAAATGATGTCAATGATGTTGCTACATGTATTGGATTTGATCGGTTCTCATGGTGGCTCTAAAAATGATGCATCCATTACATAGCACACTACAAAAATTCATCAACAATTACAACAGTGGTGTCAATCAGGCGACAAAGCCATCATTGACCGAGGATTCGATCGTGCGAGAAAAATCTTAGAAGATTTAGGTTTAGAAGTCAAGATACCATCATTTTTGAAAAAAAAACAACATACTTGTAAAGAAGCTAATCAACCTCGTCTCATCACGAAAGTTCGCTGTGGAGTTGTAATGCATCATGGACGTTTGAGGAAGTTTCTTTTCCTTCAACAAACAATTCAAAATTCGTTAATTGAAAAAATTGGTCCGTGAGTTAGAATACTACGGCGGCGCTCAATGTTTTCCGTCGTTCTCTGTTTTCCAGGAATAACGTACAAAAACAGGAACAGATGGCAAGAATAATGAAAGTTCGAGCAGAAAGCAACACCACGTTGAAAGAAAAAGTGAAAAACAAACTGTTGAATTCACGATGTAAATGGGAAAAATTAGATGAAACTCAAAGAGAATTCCCTCACTTGCCAAAAGGTCAATTAAGAGAACTGTGTTTCTCTTAATAAAAACCAAAACCATTTTGATTTTTACGTTTGAGAGAATATCGATAACCGAGGTAACATAATTGTCTTTTGCCATGTGTAGATTCAACAAATTCAGCAAACATTATTAAAACTTCTTCTGACTTACCAGACATTATTAAAACAGTGTGAGAAGAGAGTGGTGTATCTGTACCTTTTATACATATTTTTATAAAAAGCTCTACAACATGTGTTAATAAGAAACTTAACGAAGCCTGGCAGCAGGCTTTATGAATTTAATACTAGGCTTTTCCATAGGTCAAGACTATGCCAAGGGAACTATTGTTCACTTTTTCTGTGAAACTAACGATGATCTCTAAACGTTTATACATCATTCAATGCGTCATTCAAAGCTTGGCAGCCGTGTTTGGGTATTAAATACTGCGCCGCTTTAACCTAGAATGACTCCAAAAATTGCTTGCCGCCTTTATTTCTGATTTTGCTCGTGACTGACTGATTTAGAAAATGTGCTTGCCGACTATAGATCATGAATTTTTAAGCACCATGAGTTCAAGCTAGATCAACGTTCGGAAAACCGACATGTTCTGCCCCCAAAACTTTCAGCACTTTGTAGTTTGAATATTTTCCAGATATTTTGTCGTGGTTAGAATCACTAAAATGTGTTTCAAAAAGTTCCATATCCTTTTCCTGAAAATTCCTTTCAAAGGAGGAGGAAAGTGAACTTTACTAACCATACTCACTGAACAGTCTGGTCCGTTTTCTTCATGTGGGTTTTTTTTTAAATTGCTTTTTACAATTTTCTATAGGTAAAAATGCATGAGAAATCAATGGTAGTAATTTCAATTCGTTTTAGAGAAAAAACTTGGTTGCTGATGTAAACGCTTTTAAATGGATGACCTGTGTTGATTTCATGTATGAACAATTTTCTTATAAGAATTTTGATAGTTCATAACTAGTGTTATCGTTGGCAGTGAGCGAAAGTTTGGGCTGTATATAACTGATGACGCTGATTCCGATATGAACATCGGAATTGCTCTTAGGCTTTTTTTGACCGTTTTCCTGAAAACTGAATCTTCAGAAAACCTTTCATTGAGAAAAGGGTTCGCAACTTTAAGTAGTTCTCTTATACGTGTGTGACACCCCTCCAAAAATAAAAATTCTCTTATCAACAATCATACGATTTTTTAGATTATCGTGAACTTTATTGAATGCAAATTGTTAAAAAGTAGTCTGTTACGCAGCAAGTAGTGCGGCGATTCCAGCAGCACTTATTAATGCGACCCACCAACTGCGATGACCTTTATCACCTGCAGTTACAACAGCTTGATTACCACTCATCAGACTTTGTACGAGGGCATTACGAATTTTTCGTGTGCCTAATTCAACCGCTGCTGGGATGAGAGCTGTGGCAAATGTTTGCCTACCAATTTGTACTTGAATGTTGTAGTAATTGGTTCCACCGCGGTTGATCATATCACTTTGATTGTCAATGCGAGCACCTATTCATAAATCAATTCAACATTTATCAAGTTAATGAAAACTAATCTAATCGTTCTAATAGCGTCGACTCTATTAAACGGAAGTATGGATTAGAAACTGTGAGGTATTCATTAAGATATTAATATTCTATTCCAATCAGAGATGGGCAACTCCGGCTAAGTTCAACTCCAACTCAACTCCAACTCCAACGCCACTTAAAGAAGTTCAACTCCAACTCTAACTCCAACTCCGCAGATCCCAAGTCCAACTCCGTTTCAACTCCAATAGGAACTTACTTTGTCCTGATTCATTTTCTTCTTTATTTTATTAGTAGTTGTTTATTTTGCTTTTGTTTACAAGAGTACACACAATTCAACAATTCAAAATTGCATTTCAATAATGTTAATTTTGAAAGCGTACTTTTTGTCATTCTACATCGATGAGATCGGAAAAGAAAACCACTCTGTGAAAATACCCTCTCTACCGGTGCCGACATGGCAGGTACGCATAACAATTTTTGAGCTAATTTACTTAGAATCGGATATACTGTCTTCTTTTGAAAAATAAGTGAACTATTTTCACTTTCTTCTTTTAGAAAACTAACTATCTCGTCTTGAATAGAATTTTGTATGCCTATACGTGTTTTTTTATTTTATTTTGTGATGAACAATAACCAAAAAGTGTTTTTCGTTTTTCACCTGAAACAATGTCTGACGAAGGAACCCCACGAAGTGATTAAACGCTTTTTGCTCGGAATCTAGTGGGTTATAGGTTATCGACCATGCTGATTACGAATACGACCATGCGGCTTCCGCATAGCCCTTCGAAGACCTGGTTTTCTAGAA